TGCCAGCAGCACATGGGAGCGGCAGTGGCAGAAGCGGGGCTGCTGGCAGACAGGGGACAGGGGACCGGGGGCCGTGGCGGGAGGGGTGGGCACGGCGCGGAGGATGGGATGAGCCCTGCCCCCGTGCCAACCGTAGCCTTGTGGCCACAGTTCCTTTAAAGGCGCATGAATTCACGCACTGGGCCCCTAGTCTATAATAATAAAATCATAATATGCATATCGACCAAATGGCCCAACAGCAGGACGACCATCCGGAGGACCACAGTATGACACGCATTGGCACCAGGCCAGTCAAGGTGGGTGCGATGCGATTGGTCAGGGGGCTGCTATTGCCCCATGATCGCCCAGCAGAGGGAGGCCCAGGCCACCGGTGAGCAGGGTGATGAATTGGGGAGGGGCTCCGCGATCACCCCAAAGAGGGAGGCCCAGGCAACCCTCTGAGGGGCAATCCATATGGGGAGGGGGAGGGGCAGGGGATCCTCAATTGATCAGCCCAGAGGGAGGCTCAGGGCACCAGCTGGCGGATTGATCAATGTAGGGGGGGCTCTGCAATCGCCCCAAAGAGGGAGGTCCAGGGCACCCTCTCTGGGGTGATGGATGGGGGGCTCCGCGGAACAAGGGAACTGGGGAACTGAGGGTTTGTGGCTGTGGACGTGGGCAGCCTCAGGACAAGGCGGGTGCGGGCAGGGGCGGGGGGGGTGGGGCTGCGAAGGCCTACCTTGCACGAATTGTGTGCACAGGGCCTCTAGTATGTACACAAAAGAAAATATTGACTGCGGCCACATTAACCTACACCAACCCTCCGGTCCCGCCCCCAGCGCCGGGCGCTGACCTCTGGATGACGTTCTTCTTCTTCTTGATGGCCTGCCGCAGCGGCTCCCGCAGCGTGACCTGGGAGAAATCCTGCAGGGCGGCGTAGACCGTGTGCCGAATGGCATGGTTGAACACGCTCTCCATCCTGCCCATCAGCACCTGCAGGCCCTTGATCATGGCGATCACCTGCGGGGACACGGGCTCTGGGGATGACGGCAGAGGCACACGCCGGCCTCTCCCAACCGCTGTGCTCCTGCTCGGATTTGTTTACTGGACGTGCTGCCTTGTTAAATAGATGAGACGTTCCTATTAGCTAATGACAAAAAGAAATTCTGCCCCAGCCAGTGTGGCTAGTTGTTTGGAACATCATCACATACACAACCGGCTGCCGGTTGTGTAGGAGGCAGACAGACAGGGGCAGTGGGAAGGACAGGCAGACAGTGGGTTTGATTCCCACTCAGGATTGATGATTCCTGGTCGATGTTTCTCTCTCTCTCTCTCCCTTCCTCTCTCTCAATCAAGAGAAATATATTAAAAAAAAAAAAAAGACAGGAAGCTGTAAGTGAAATGAACAACTTGTGTTCACCAAGACGCCTGAGGACAGAGGGAGCCCAGGTGCCCACCGCCCCAGGCACACGGCAGAGCCTGGGATCGGGGCTCCCAGTGGGGCAGAGGGAGGGACTTCGGGCTCTCAGGTGCCAGGTGACTTCCTGTCCCCCTGGATCTGCCCCGGGGGAGTTGTCGGCAGAGCTCAGTAACCAGGCCCATTTTATTCTGTTTTGACAACTGCGACAGATGCAAAAGGGCTGCCCCACAGAGAAGCAATGACAGATGTAGGTGGTTCATTCCCGTTTTCCTCTCCTTTGAAAAGGGAGCCCACATGAGCCAGTGGCGATGGCGGCAGAGACAACAGACAGACGCACCTCCACGAGGGCGAACTTCTCCTCGCTGGTGTAGTTGTAGCGCGTGGCCCGCTCATACTCCTCAGCGTTGTCGGGGCAGTCCTTGTTGGAGTACTTGTCCGTCGGGTGCACGAGTTTCCACGAATACTATTTAGAGAGACAGGGGCACAGACTGCAGTGCTCAGCTGCCGGTTGTGTAGGAGGCAGACAGACAGGGTCAGTGGGAAGGACAGGCAGACAGACACGGGCAGTGGGAAGGACAGGCAGACAGACACGGGCAGTGGGAAGGACAGGCAGACAGACACGGGCAGTGGGAAGGACAAGCCAGGAATGGAAGGTCACCGGGGCGGAAAGCAATGGGCAGGATTGGGGCGTACAAGGGGCAGCTGGTCGATGTTTCACTATCACATCGATGTCTCTCTCTCTCTCTCCCTTCCTCTCTCTGAAATCAATAAAAATATCTTTTTAAAAATATCGTAACGTTACAATTTAAAGACTATCAATGCCAACAGATGAGGCCATTGATTTGTAACACAGGTGCATGAAACGTATGTTGAATTGTCTTCCATTTAAAATGACATATAACCTTATTTCTGGCCCCAAAATAAAAAGCCAATTTGTTCTTGATCCAAGAACCAAAGTTAATGCAGAAAAAATATCATTGATTCCATATCTTGATGAGTCTGGGGGGGTGGGGAGGGGAGGGCGCTCTCCAGGTTCCCGGTGTTCCCGCCTCCTGGCAAGCGAGCGAGGGCGCCTACCACTTCCATCACGTGCGCGCTCCACTGGGACAGCAGCTGCAGGCCCTGCAGCGCCAGGTCGAAGAGCTTCCGGTACTCGGCGTCTGTCTTCTGGGCCTCCTGGCGGCCGGAGCCTGTGACAACCTGGAGCATCAAGGAGCATCGAGAAGTCGCCCCACATGTAGAAAGCTGGCCGAGTCTCCCCCGTCCCATCAAACCCGCTCTAGGAACCCACCCCAAGGGCCCTGGCCCAGAAATGTGACATGATGGGGCACACGATCCATCTGGGCCCTGGCCAGTGCCACTAGTGGTTAGAGCCTCAGCCTGAGCACTGAAGGGTCCAGGGCCCTTCCCTGCTGTCCTAACCCCTTAAGTCTGCAGTTCACTGATGAAGAGGGCACCTGCTAAACCCTACACCCCACAGCCCCTCCTGGCCGCTCTCTCCACCTGTGATCTCGTGTGTGACCCCAGGGCCATGTGCCCTGCAGGACTGTGAGTGGTAAACCTAGTTTTTTCTAAGCTGCGTGACGGCTGTAGCTGAGGTGGGTCCTGCATTCGCAGTAAGGCCCCCAGGGCTGGCCTGCCGACCTCGCTGTTGCTGTAGCGTGCCAGCTCGGAGATGAAGCGCATGTGGTCCTCTCGGATCTGGATCATCTGCTCACAGATGTTGTACTGGGGGCTGCTGCTGGAAGACGTGCACGTCCACCTGCGGGAGGGAGCGGGTCACCGGAGGGTGTTTGTAAAAAGTCATCGAAATTTCTCCTTCGTCACCAAACTGCTTCCTGACAGCGATGCCAAGGGCAGCACAGGGAACATGGTCAGTCACGCTGTGGTAACTGTGTGTGGTGCCAGGCGGGTGCTGGACATATCAGGGGGACCCCTTTGTGAAGTATATGATTAGGTCACCACCATGCTGCACCCCGGAAAACAGCGCAAAGTCATACTGAATGTCAACTGTGATGGAAAGATCAAATTAGCCCTGGCCAGTGTGCATCAATGGTCAGAGCATCGGCCTGCATACCAAACGGTTGTGGGTTCAATTCCTGGTCAAGGGTACGTACTTAGGTTGCAGGTTAAAGCCCAGGTCCGATTGGGGAGCATTCAAGAGGTAACCAATTGATGTGTCTATCTCACATAGGTCTCTCTCTCTCTCTCTCTCTCTCTTTCTAACTCTCCTTCCATCCGTCCCTGCAATGGAAAACATATCCTGTCTAGGTTGTGGGTTTGATCCTCAGTTGGTTTATGTAGGGGAGGCAGCCAATAGATGTTTTTCTCTCACGTCGATGTTTCTGTCTATCTCTCCCTCTCTCTTAAAAAAAACAAACACAAAACAACGACAATAGGAACATCTCAGAACATTCTAATTGGTCAGCTCACGCTCGTACCGAGATTTGTTCTCCTCGTAGTGGGCGCTGGTCTTGATGTATCTTGCGAGTTCTATCTGCATGTCACCGAACAGTGGGACCACCTGGAGCTGCTGTATTCAAAGAAAAAAAATAGGGTCATCATGTCTGTTTAGTGACCAAATGTATAATTACGTGAATGAATAGCCGTTAGTTATTGTTGGTTAAAAGCATTCTCTGAAAATCATTTAGTGCAAAAAAAGTGGTGAACACTTTTTGTTCTACATTCACTTCAAGAACAAAATACAAGTACCAACATTCATGAAATTATTTAAGCCATTTTAAATATGGAAATTAACCTGACTTTGGCTAGATCTATGGTCATAAAAAATTCAACTGCATTTCTACATACTAGCAACAACTAGAAAATGAAAATTTAAAGAATTTGCAAAAGCATCCAAAAATAAAAAGATTATGTATGAATACATTAAACAAAATATAGACAATACCTCTAAGCAAAAATACCATCAAAAATTCCAGAGAACATTTTAAAGTTTTAAGTGAATGGAGAAATATATCAGGTTCACGTATTGGAAGACTTGGTAATTTAATAAAGTCCATTCTCCCTAAATGAATCTATACATGCAATGGAATCCCAAACAATATTCCAAGAGGAAGGTGTTTTACGAGTGGTGAGCATGTGTGGCGATCACAAGCCAGTTCTAAAATGCATTTTGAAAGGTGAAGGGATGATACGCACGACAGTCTTGAAGAACATAACCGAAGACTTCCTGGTGAGCAGACCTACTCTACTGGGAAGCCACAGCCACTAGGACAGTGTGGCCTTGGAGCATGGATGGAGACCAGTGGGGCAGGACAGAGGACCTAAGACAGAGCCACAGACAGACACCTGGTTTATGCCCCACGAAACACAGGACAATGTGGGAAAAGATGCTCTCTGCAATGAAAGGACAGGTCAGCTAGATATCCACATGGAGGAAAAATCCAAGAACGTCAAGCCCGAGCCCTGGCCAGTGTGGCTCAGTTGGTCGAGCGTGGTTCCATGCACAAAAGGGTCGCAGGTTCGATTCCCAGCAGGGCACATGCCTGGGTTGCAGGCTCGATCCCCAGTAGAGGGTGATCTGGAGGCAGCCAATCGATGATTCTCTCTCATCATTGATGTTTCTATCTCTCTCTCCCTCTCCCTTCTTCTCTCTCTAAAATCAATAAAGATATTAAAAGAATCACAATGAGCCCTAGCTGGTTTGGTTCGGTGGATAGAGCATCGGCCTGTGTACTGAATGGTCCCAGGTTCGATTCCAGTCAAGGGCACTGGGTTGCGGGCTTGATCCCCAGTAGGGGGCCTGCAGGATGCAGCCGATCCATGATTCTCTCTCATCATTGATGTTTCTATCACTCCCTTCTCCCTTCCTCTCTGAAATCAATAAACATACATTATTTTTTAAAATATCACAAAGAGAGAGAGAGAAAGAGAGGGAGAGAGAAGAATGCCAACCCCTACCTCATGCCATACAGAGACCAGTTCTAAGGGAAACCATAGGTCTAGATGGAAAAGGAGCAGTGATGTGTCCAAAAGCTAACACAAGAAAATCACATGAGCCTGCTGTATGGAAACATCCGCTAAAGTAGACATTAAAGTTTTAAAAAAATCACAAAGAGAGAGAGAGAAAGAGAGGGAGAGAGAAGAATGCCAACCCCTACCTCATGCCATACAGAGACCAGTTCTAAGGGAAACCATAGGTCTAGATGGAAAAGGAGCAGTGATGTGTCCAAAAGCTAACACAAGAAAATCACATGAGCCTGCTGTATGGAAACATCCGCTAAAGTAGACATTAAAGATGGACACACTGGATAACAATAAAATGAAGAACCTCTATTCATGAAATGACACCTTTAGGAAAGTGCAAGGAGAGCCACGTAGGGGAATGGCTGCATTTTGGGGCACATGCACCTAGAATACGTGCAGAAACAACCGAACAGGGAAAACCAAGAAATGTCGAGTGACGTTTCATGAAGCACACAAAGGGCTAAGGCATCAGAGGCCCAGAGAGCGCAACGACACGCCAACCTTCAGACTGTCCCCCTTCCAAGGGGCTGGCGAGGGAGTGGAACAAGGGGAACGCTCACTCATTGCAAAGCAGCGCAGGCCCATGGAAAACTGTTAGGCTGTATCCACAAACACTGGAAACCTTTATGCTCATGACTCCAGTCCCATCCCTGGGTTCACGTCCAACAGAAATGTGCAGATGTCCCTAAATCTGAGCAGCCCCGTTCACACCGGCGAGAACCCAGAAACCACCACATGCTCATCACGACAGAATGGATCAACAGACGCTGGTGTGACCATCCGATGGCGACCCCACGATGAAGCTTAAGGACTGCTGCTGTGGGCACCCACAGGGACAAGTGTAACTGAGTGACCAGCCAGACAAGGGACGCAGGGCGTGGTCCCCTTCATTCGAGACCACAGCCCGGCAGAGCCTGTGTGGGGAGGCGGGGAGGGAGCAGGCACAATGTCCCAGGACCCGTCACGGTCTCACGTCTATAGAAATGTCACTCACTCACCTTGAAAAACTTGTCAATTTTGGACAAGTTTATTCTTTTCTTGGCGTCTAGTTTATAGATGTTGCTGACACTCCCATCCATCAAGTACAGACCAAATCCCATGACCTGAAAAAGCACAAAGTGGCATAGAAAGCTCAGACCCACAAGGTTAATTGCCCACAAGCACCTACAGAAATGACACTTCACTCTTTCTCCAGAAAAGGCATTTTAGCCCTGGCCCAGTGACTGAGCGTCGACCTAGGAACCAGGTCACGGTTCCATTCCCGGTCAGGGCACATGCCCAGGTTGCAGGCTCGATCCCCAGCAGGGGGCGTGCAGGAGGCAGCATCAATGGTCCTCTCTCATGATTGATGTTTCTATCCCTCTCTCCCTCTTCCTTCCTCTCTGAAATCAATAAAAACATATATATTTTTAAAAAGAGGTTGACGAAAGGATCGCAGACAAAGCACAGCCTGTTGGCCAGGCCCTGGCTGTCCCCCCGCCTGTGTCCCTCCCTCAGCGGGGCCCTCAACAGCCATCCCCACCCGCGTACTTTGAGAAGCATGTGTTTCTCGCTGGGCGTCAAGTACATCCTGTTCTCGTAGTAATCCACGCACAGGTTCACGATGTCCGCTAGGAGCTCTTCGTAGCCAGAGATGACTTCAAGCTGTTGCTGCAGAGACTGGAAGAGGGGAGCCGCATGCCACCACCTGCTCCAGGTCCTCTGTCCCTGGAACCCCAGCCATGCACCCCATCAGCCAGAGCAGGAGAGCTTGAGCCTCACCTGTGTGATCTTGTTGTGGTTGGCCAGGAACATGGACAGGTTCTGCGACTCCTGGATGGACTGCGGGTCTGCCATTTTCCGTAGAAACTGAGCAGCCCTTTGTAAGCAGGAAAAAAAGAAAACAGGTCATCAACTAACATGCTTCATGATTTAAAAAAAGAAGAAGAGCCCAGCTGGGGCGGCTCCGTGGTTGAGGGTGGACCCATGAACCAGGAGGTCATGGTTGGATTCCCGGTCAGGGCACAGGCCCGGGTTGTGGGCTCGATCCCCAGTCGGGGGCGTGCAGGAGGAAGCGGATCAATGATGCACCCCATCTGATGTCAATTTCATTTTAAAGACACAGCAGCAGACGTATGATTTCAGAGGCAATGTAACTACAGCCCATTCACATGCAAAGTAAAAACTCTTCCAATTGAATTTTATAGCTCGGATTCCTTGTGTGGCAAGAGGCAACATCAGCCAGCATCCTGTCATCTTGTTCTAACCAGTCATGCCTTCAGCAGGACTGGGGACAGACTCTAGAGAAAGTCTGTCCGTAGACAGCTGGCTCTGCCCTGACTGCCCACCCCCGCTCCCTGCCACCAGCCACCCACACAGTGTTCCAGAAGCACACGCCACGCCATGCCCGCCTTTTCCAATGATCTTCTCCGCATTCAAAGAGAAAACCGCCCGGAGGAGAGCGGGTCTGGGAAACCAGGAAGCTCCACGTGACCTCACTGTACCATTCCACAGGGCCAGCTCCGCCCACTGCTGGGCACCATCACCTGACCGGGCCATCCTGAGCAGAGAGTGACTAGGGGTGGCACCCTCAGGCTGCAGAGCCCACCTGCCCCTCACCAACACGCTCACGGAGCCCAACGCCCTTGCAGTGACCCCAAGGCTCTGTGAGGAGGAAATGGTCTTGTGTGCTTCTGCCGCCCAAGGGTGCTGAACGCGCAACAAACATGTGAGTCAAGGGCACATACCTACCTTGGTTCCAGGCAAAATCCCAGGCCCTGGTCAGGGAGCATGCAGGAGACAACCAATCGATGTGTCTCTCTCACATCCATGTTTCTCTCTCTCCCCTCTCCCTTTCACTCTCTCTAAAAATCAATGGAAAAATAGATTCAGGCGAGGATTAACAAACAACATCATCAAAACAGGCCTGAGCCTGGCCAGTAACCACTGCCAGCCAGCTGCAGTAACTTCTGCACACCCACGGTGTGCAGGAAGCACAGCGCACCGGGTACTCCCAGGCGCTCTCCACGGGGGCTCAGGCACAGCGCTAGGCTCACCTCTTGTAGGCCGAGTGGTCGTTCTTCACGCTGCACTTCATGTTCTTCAGCTCGTCCAGCACTGCGAACATGTTGATGAACTTGCCCAGCGTGACCAGGTAGGCCTCCGACACGAAGTCCTTCCTCCGTTCCGCGTGGCACAGGCGCCGCACCTCCCCACAAAAACGCTCGATGGCATTTCTCTGAGCACGGAAAGATGGGGTTCAGGAAAGTCCCTGCCAACGCAGGGACAGCTCCACATCTGGCTATAACTACAGTGTCCAGACCCACTCATCAAACACCCACCCACCCTGGAGGCGCGCTCAGTGGTTAGCACGTTGGCCTGCATACTGGAGGGCCGTGGGTTCCATTCCTGGTCAAGGGCATGTACCTGGGTTACAGGTTCAAAACCCACCCCCAGTTGGGACCCGTGTGGGAGTCAACCCATCAATGTTTCTCTCTCACATCAATGTTTCTCTCTCTTTCTTCCCACCCCCTCCCTTCCACTCTCTCTAAAAATAAATGAGAAAAATACCCTCGGGTGAAGATTAACCAAAAAATTAAAATTAAAAAAAATGAAGTCCTCTCCCTGCGGCCACTTTTCCTAACCAAGGAGCCAGAAGAAGCTTAGGTGAGGACCGCCTGAGCAAGCAATGAGGGTGAGTTTGAGAAAGAAAACACCTGAAAAACGGGATGAATATAAAGTATAAATTGGCAGAAAGACAAAAGTACTTGGAACTGAGAAAGCAGTCTTTATACCCTCGTCAATTTGGCTCAGTGGATAGAACATGGGCCTGCGTACTAAAGGGTCCCAGATTCAATTCCCAGTCAGGGAACATGCCCAGGTTGCACGCTTGATCGCCAGTGTGGGGCAGGCAGGAGGCAGCCGATCAATGATTCTCTCTCATCATTGGTTTCTTTCTCCCTCTCCCTCTCCCTTTCTCTCTGAAATCAATAAAAATATATTTTTAAGTAAATAAAATACAGAATTCTGCATCCCTCTCTCAAAACGAAAAATAAATAATGTGTCTCCGTGAAGAAAACACAAATTGGCACTCAAGGAGAGAAGTGAAACAAAAGTGTTTATTCTGACAGAGCAGGCAATGCTTTCACCTGTCCGAGGCTCAGTTCCCTTTGTCTCTGAAGCATCTGGTTGCTTTAATTCACACGCAGGTGCTGTACTGAGTTCCTGGGGACAGTGACAGTGGCACTGTCCTAACCTCTGCACCAAACCCTAGGATCATTCTGCTGTCTTACCTGGAAGTACATAAAATTCATCAGTTTTGTGACCTCAGGCTCAAGGACCTCCACGGTTTTCTCATAAATTTCCACTCTGTTAGGCTGCTCATTACATTTCACCTGGGAATAAACAGGTATGACATAAAGAAAGGCTTCAACCAGCTAGAAATGAGGGAGGGAAGGCGCTGCTAGCGCTGGGGGTCCCTGACTTCTGATGGGTAGAATTCCGGTGGGGCTGGGCTGTGCAGGTTGGGGTGTGGTCTTGCTGAGCTGGGCGGAGGTCACGAGGGGCGTGGCCTGGCTGGGTGGGGCAGAACAGCAGGGTACCTGTGGGATGGCCCGAGAGCAGCTCCTCCAGGTATATAGCATGACAGCGTACTCCTGGCCCTCTTCCAGCATCTCGTTCTGCAAGGGGGCGCATGGCAAATGTAAGGCACGCAGGGGAGCATCCCTAGCAAAGGAGATGCCACATCGCTAACAACTACAGGGATCACCTATCCCGACTGCCTTTGACAGACAAGCACCAGGACCTGCCTGCTGAGTAAGAGACAGCTGTGAGGAGGCTGGTGTCACTCATGCAGTGGTGCGGCCATGACGACCACACCGCTCCTCCCATACACCCAAAGGTCACGGGTTCTATTCCCAGTCAGGGCACATACCCAGGTTGTGCGTTGGATCCCCGGCCAGGGAGTCTAAGAGAGGCAGTCAGTTCATCATGTGACTCTCTCATCTCTCTCTCTCTCTCTCTCTCTCTAAAAATCAATGAATATGTCATCATGTGAGGATAAAAAAAGTTACATTGTGGACATTTACAAAATGTGAAGTCATAAAATACACAATTATAACAATGCACTTCATTTAGACCATCTGTATCACAAGGGGGTGCATGTGTGCAGGTACATGAGAGAGAGAAAATGGACTTCCTCAAAATTCTCTCTGGGCTGTCGATGATAAATTTTCAGAAAGATCAGGTATCTATACTAATAAAAGGGTAATATGCTAATTAGACCAGGAGACCTTCCAGATATAGCCATCGTGGTGGGGCCAAGGCAGAGGCAGTTAGGGGCAATTAGGCCAGGAGGAGGGGGTAGTTGGGGGCGAGCAGGTCAGCCTGGGAGGGCAGTTGGGGGCGGACAAAGCCATGGTGGCGGGGCCGAGGCAGAAGCGGTTAGGGGCGATCAGGCCAGGAGGGGAGGGCAGTTGGAGGTGATCAGGCCAGCAGTGGGGGGCAGTTGGGGGTGAGAAGGCCGGCAGGGGGGGGGCCGTTGGGGGTGAGAAGGCCGGCAAGGGGGGCAGTTGGGGGCGAGCAGGCTGACAGGCAGAGTGGTTAGGGGCGATCGGGCAGGCAGGCGAGCAGTTAGGAACCAGTGGTTCCGGATTGTGATAGGGATGTCTGGCAGTCAGACATCTCCGGAGCGGTCCCAGATTGGAGAGGGTGCAGGCAGGGCTGAGGGACATCCCCCCCACACACACATTTTGTGCACCGGGTCACTGGGTGTTTTATAATAAGAAAAACAAAGGCTTTTTAAAAAACGAACAAGGCATTTCATTCACTCTTCTCTTCTTCCCCAGCAGGCACCCTTTCAGGATGATAGAAAAAAGGGGACACCTGCCACTCAGATGTGCCATCACCCCAGTTGAAAATTAATACACGGGGGGTGGGGGTGGGGGATTACCATGCCAGAATGGACCGTTGCTTGTTCAATGTATCTTGCAATACCGGTGACAAATGCATTTCTGTCTTCAAAGTTCGTGTTGAAATTTGGCTGAAAGGAAGAGAAAGACCATCACATGGAGGCCCGCATCTCAGGAGGTCAGCGGCACAGGCGGTCTGCGTGCGGCCACCGGCACCCACCTGGTAGAGCAGGGAGGATGGTGGGGGCTCAATGCAGGGCTGCTGGTCGGGCAGAGGCAGCTCTTCCAGGAGGTCCACGTTGGACAGCGCGTCCTCCAGTGTCACCTGGGCCGCCATCCTGGCCTAGAACACAACACGAAGCAACCTGTGCTGTGTGGATGGAAGGGCAGGGCCCTGGCTCTCCTGGTCAGGGCTCACCAGCAAGGGCATCACCATGCAGCCGTGCTGGCCTCCAGGAGTGGCACGATGCGGGCACATGGGCCACCTCACATGGCTTCACTTCCTGGCCCCTTTCCCACCTTGGGCCACTGTCTTTAGGGGCTCTTCGGTGGGAGGGTTGGACATTCCTGCACACAGGTTACACACTGGGACTCCCAGCACAGGGTCAGCCGACAGCGACTGCTAAGAGGAGGGTTGGGGTGAAGGTGCCACAGGGAGGGGACTGTCAGCAGAGCACAGCCCCAAGGCTGCGTGGAGCAGCACAGACGCAGAGCTGGATGTTATCGCAGCAGGTCTGCCATCTCCAGGGAAAGGACTCGGCAACTGCAGCCTGCCCCCCGCTGAGTGCTTCTCCGGCCCCAGCGGGACCCCGGAGCAGCTCTGTTTATGGCGGCTTACTTAGGTGGCTGTGACTGATCAGATCCCTGGCCGCTGGCAGTGCTCAGTGTGGATGCATCTAACAAGAGGCGGCAAACCACCCCAAGCAGACACTGAGACAGAAAGGAGAAGGAAGCCCGCAGGAGCAGGAGCCTGCAACCATTCTCGCCGCTGATGGTGAATCAGCAGGAGCCCAGGCACGGAACCCAGCGGGACCACAGGGACCTCACTGGCACTCACAGAACACTCCGGACAAGTGCCGATCAGTTCCGCATGCTTCCAACTTAAAATGTAGCAAATAATTTTCAATCTACTGGTATTTTGTGGGGAAAATACAGCGTTTTTCCTTTCATTACCAACTTCCTCCTACCATCACAACTTCCTGTTCCACACACTGCGCAGTGAGAGCAGTGCCCCTGGACCCGGCCAATGCCCTGCAGAGCCAGCGCGGAGCCCAGTGTGCATGCAAGGAGCCTCCAAGCGGGCAGCCTCCTGGTTCACAGGTCGACGCTCAACCACTGAGCCACACCAGCCCGGCCGGGCGCTCTCTAGAACACACCTCACATGGCGGTCCCATCTTAGAGAGCACCTACCCACCGACCTCCCAGCACGCGGCCTGTGCAGTGCTGACTTCTCTAGAAGCTGGTGTGGGTGAAGCCAGATCAAAAGCCAGGACAGAGACAGTCACACAGCGAGAGGGCAGAGGGAACCCGGCCCACAGGGGATCCCACAAATGGGTGCGCCCGGAGTGGTGCCCGAGCAAGCCGGTGCCTTCCCAGAACACGCCATCGTGGAAAGATCTCCAAGATCTGGGCGTGAGCCAGGATGACCAAGTGAAAAGGCATGAGGACATGCGCACCATAACCTCGTTACCAAAATAACACACGAAAATGAAACTACTGGTATGTGTGCGCAGAACAGGCGTGACGGCGCTCCTGAAGGGATTCTGCTGAGGTTCTGTCCTGTTTACATTTTCTGATGAGCTGGAGTTCTCAAGTTTTTCTCATAACTTAAAAATAGGATTTGAATCTTTCAGGTTGCAACCTAGAGACACACTTTTCTGACCTGTATGTCTGTACCCTCAGCGGCAAAATGGAAGAGTCCTGAATGCATGGTGTTCCTCGAACTAAGCCAGACCGAAGACCAAATAGGACATTCAAAACGGTAGGAATGGGGAACAGCTCAGCGGTTGCCTGAGTTAGAAACGGGGGCGGGGATGCCAACGAAGAGACAGCAGGAAGGAACTTGGGGTGATGGCGCTGTTCTGCATTTTGATGTTGGGCTGGTCACATGACTACGCATTTGTCAAAACTCGCTGAAATGTACACCCAAAAGTGAGTTTGACTATATGTAAATTTTTTTAATTTAAATAAACACACACACACACACACACACACAACACTTGGGGAGTGAATTTCCTTCAGCGAGCGGTCTGTCAGCACAAACAGATGCGTGAGCTCAGGAAGCGTTCCCCACCGCAACTCCCCCAGTCTCGGCACGACCGGAGCTGAGGCCAACACCCCCTCACCCCGCCCCAGCCCCGGGGGGGGAGAGGTGGACTCCTGCTAACGTAGACCCGCCCGGGTCCACGTGACTGGGCTCCGTCCGTGCCTGCAGATCTGCTCTCCACACCGAAGCCACTAACGACCTGCAGACACGGGGGCCCCTTCCCGGGCCCCGAGCCCGGGGGGGCCCCGCCGGCCCGGGGGGGGGGGGGGGGCGGGCGACGAGTGGCCAAGACCAGCGACCTGAGCTCCAGTATCTGCGGCTCCAATCACGGATCCATCAGGCAGTCGCGTTAGGAAATGGGCCAGACACGCCACCGGGCTCGCGAGGCCGCAGCGAGACTC